TGCTTGGGATCATCCTCCACAAGTGGCACACAAGCTACCACCTTCTTCAGCAAGGGTCGGCAGCCTACCTCTAGACCCAATAAGCGACACAAGCTACCGTTTCGTCTACCCGGCCTGGGTCAACCAGGCGGGCTAGACGATCCTCTGAGAGTCGGTCTTAGCGGAGCAGAAGCACGGAGATACTTCCAATTGCTCCACGAAGGACTTGCTCCAGGGAAAGCAAAAGCGAAAACACTCCTGCGAAAAGGGGAGAGTAAAGAAACCAAGAAACAACCTAATTCATCTCCATCAAAGGGCAAGAGAGGGAGCGAGAACCTCTCACCTCTTCTCCGGCAGGGAGAACAACCAAACCGGCAGGGAGAGAAAAAAGCCAGGATGGAAAGCCGTCCAACACCGGGAGGCAAGCAGGGACCTATCTATCACCAGCTTTGCCGCTATTGCTGGACAAGTGAAAATGGCGGTGCTGCCAAAGGATTTCCCAGAGGTTGCTCTGACTACCGACCAGCAAAAACTCTAGAAGAGGCTATACTGGACAAAGTAGTGGCGATCGGATCGCAACACAACGATCTACCAAATGTGAAATCTCTATCTCTATAAATATCTATCTACATAAATTGTGTATCTCAAGAATCGGCGAATTGGTTGGTGGAAATCGCACCTAAGCTTAAAAATTGGCAAGGGCCGGAACTGGTTGCAGTGAAGGGAGAAAACATCCCTAAAGGGGCGGCCATCACGGTCTTTCTTCCGAGGAGCAAGGGGAAAGACACCACCTACCTGCCGAGCCTTATGCAGGGTCAGAACTTCAATGTAAGGACATCGAGTTGGCAATTCATCAACTCGAGGGAGGAGGGTCATGGTCAGGTCCTCACAATAGGAATTGACCTCAAATCCAAGGAGGCAATAAAGAAAGAGGGACATATCCTCTATTATAGATACGGGACAACACCGGTATCAGATCTAAGGAGAGACCAAGTTAAAGAGGTAGAGAAAATGGAGACAGATCCTCCAGTCTCCACCTCACGGGTGCCTCAGCCGGAGGCAAGCTCCTTGACGGTGAAGGGCGGCACGGAGGGCCAAACTCCAACCGTGGAAGGGTGTGGACCTTCGGAGGAAGAACTGTTGTCAGAGGTGGATGGGAAATACCTTGTCCCCTCTACAACAGGGGTATGATGGGTTATAGACTGTGACTCTAGGAAGGGGGGCACAATAGACCTTCAGTCGCATTCTACTTTCTATCATATACTGACGTACGTATGAGAGGCACCACCCTGTATATAAAAATATGTGTTAATTTGACCCAACTACAAAACTATTTTTAGTTTCATAAATTATTTTTTATCACGCAAATACAAAAATACCTCGAAAAATACCTAGTATTTGTATAGCTATTTAGTAAATTAGAAAACCTCTTTAATTAGGTTTTTAGAGTAATGATTGCCACGTAAAAAATAACACTTCTAGGGCATCTGTAATTACACTAACACCAGAATTTATGTAATTTCAGAGAACCAATAATAGATAGGTATAAACAAAGGTATAAATTAAGACGAGCAACCCAACAACAAAAACAGAAAAATATACCGGGTGCGTCTCAAAGTTGCTCAGCCCCTATAACTTTTTTATTTTTTCAGATAAAAAAACGAGATTTGGTATGTTAGTATATGACATAAATTTGGGATTTATTGACGTATTCAATTGTTTTCGGCCACTTCCTGTTTCACCGGAAATTACTACAACTTTGATTTTTAAATGGCACCCTCGGGATTTTTTTACTTTATTTTACACTCTGAATAGAATGACATATCAAATGTCAACTTTTGACATTTTTGCTTAAAACAAAATTGTATTTAAAATTTTTAAATTTCAATCTAGAGTGACATACAGTAGTGGCCAAAATTATAGCAACTTTTAATATTCTTGAACATTTTATTGAAAACTTAAAATTGGCGAGTAGTTTATAATTTATTTTTATTGTATTTCACTCAAATATTTGTTTACTATGTATACAATTTTTTATCATCACACTATCGTCAAATGGAAATACATTTTAAATTTTTTGATGGACAAAAATATAGCAACTATTTTTTGTAAAGATAATATTCAATCAGGTTCAGACATTTTGGCGAAATGAAAACGCAGTAATAAAGTATATTTATCGGTAAAAATGGGTCGTGGTAAAACTGGGTCTCCCGAAGTTAGGGATATTATTATTCGACGATTTTTAAATGGCGAAAAAAAAGTTCGGATTGCCCAAAGTTTGTTATTAAATAAGTCCGTTATATCACGTATTGTGAAAAAATATCAAGAAACAGGATCGCCAAAAAAAACAAAAAATACAGGAAGGCCTAGAAAAACAACAAGAAGAATTGATAAAACTATTTTGCGGATTGCTCAGAAAAATCCATTTATGACTTACACACACAAACTGTCAACGAAATTAGCAATTCTGGCAATGTAAATTTCATTTCAAGGACTGTTAGAAGGAGATTAGTTGATGCTGGATGATTTGGCCGCAGGCTGCCAAAAAAACCACTTCTCTCAAAAAAAAATGTGAAGACCCGATTGGAGTTTGCTAAAAATTACTGTAACTGGACACATCAAAAAAGTAGTTTTTAGCAATGAATCCAAATTCAATCTATTCAGAAGTGATGGAATTGCTTATGTGAGGCACCCTGTAGGAAAAAGGCTGAATATAAAATATATTTCACTTACTGTGAAACATGGGGGCGGTTCCATACAGGTTTGGGGGTGTTTTTCGGGCTACGGCATGGGTCCACTCTTCAGAATAAATGGAATAATGGACCGGTTTCTGTCTAAAGACATTCTACAAAATCAAATGATTCCTTATTTGGAAGAAAAAAAAAATGCCTGTAGATGCTATTTTTCAACAAGATAATGACCCCAAGCACAAATCCAAACTGGTGACAGAGTATTTAAGAGATGAAATAATCGATTTATTACCATGGCCTTCACAGTCTCCAGATCTTAACCCGATTGAAAACATTTGGAACTATGTGGACACAAAAATCCGGGATCAAAACTACAGCAACTTGGATCAACTTTTTGAAGCACTACAGAATGCCTGGAAAGCAATAGATGAACAGTATATAACCAATTTGCTGCAATTTATGCCCAGAAGGTGTGAAGGGGTCATCAGACAGAAAGGATATTATACGAAATATTAATTATTTTCATGTTTTCTATTTATTTCAAAATATTTTCAAATTAATTTGTAAAAGTTGCTATAATTTTGTCCACAAGAATATACACATTATTTTATTATACGTTTTTTAACAATGTCCTTAAAATAGACATCTAGACTTCAACATTTTATTTGGGTGAATAGGAAAATTGATACCTATTACTTTGTAGGCAATTTTATATTCCAATTTTAAAAATTGCTATAATTTTGGCCACTACTGTAGCTGAGTTATTTTCTATTGAATAAAGTAAAACAACCGAGGGTGCTATTTAAAAATCAAAAGTTGCAGTCATTTCCGGTGAAACAGAAAGTGACTAAAAACAATTAAATACGTCTATCAATCCGAATTTATCTCGTTTTTTTATTTGAAAAAATAAAAAAGTTATAGGGGTGAGCCACTTTTGAGACGCACCCGGTATTTAACATGGCAGTCTAATTTTATAGTTAATAAAATGAAGGTAAATGATAATAAACTATAAGCACTTCAGATTCTAGATATAAAATACAATGAATATTATTGTGATGTGATCAGCGCTTAAATAAAATTCATGATAAAATACAGGTAGCTACATTATAATAGGTACTCAATTGGTAGTCAACGATATACCGAGACCGAGACGTGCACTTATACATTACCTAAATTACACTTTTTTATTATAATTATAATAGGCACCCAGTAGGTAGGTATTTAGGTATGTTGACTTTTTAAGGTACCCAAGCTCAAGCGCTCTATTCAGGTACCTACTTAAGCTACCGTAAATCCGGCTTTTTAAAATGTTTTAAGGTCCGTTGTTTGTACTAAAAACATCCCAGCCTCTATGTGGGAAATATTTCTGTATTATTCTTTAATATTTATATATTTATTTTAAAACTCAAACTACTTAAATGTATTAGGTATCATAAAAAATATTAAATATCTATAAAAATACCGTGAGCACCAATAAAAAGAAACAAAATATTTATATTTACCTTTTGTAATAATCTTGTAGCCCGTGTAATAAAAGATCACGATTCACTGTCAATGATAAAATAAAAACCACATCAACTCAGCTTGCACATCATTGCACTGATTTTTCAATAAAATATGAAAAAATGTTATTTCACAATAAAGACAATTTTGAGAAAATTTAAATTCCAGTTCGCGTTTTGGAGATTAAAACTTTGAACAAAAATAATACCCAACCTACTTAGGTAATTTGTAATTTTTAACTGCTAATTTTCAGATTTACCTATGTATCTTTTTATCTAATCTTATCAACTAGCTAACTTAATTCACGACATTATGTTATGTCAAAAAAAAATGGAAAATAATAACAAATTTGTTGAATTAAATTGGTATAAAATATGTACTTTACATGTATATTTCATTCCCTGGTATAAATCTTTATAAAAATTGTAAAAAAAATAAATAATATGCCATAAAAAAGAAGAAATAAATTGCTGTATGAAAATGATAATAAGATGTATTATTTACACTTATATTTACTAAGATAAGTACCTAAAATAAAGTATTTACTTATCATTTGATTAATTATGAAAAAACATTTCTTATAATGAACTAAAGAATCCAATGCGGTAATTGATTAACACTTGCATATTTAATATATTAAACAAACAAACAAAGAGATAATACTTGTATAAAGTAGTTAAATGATTGAATAAACAAAGAACTGTGGTAACTGAAGACTTGGAGGAACTTAAATAATTAACTAGCACTTCTTGTAATATAGGTATTACAATAAATAATAAAATAATAGAGTACACATGGAAGTTCAATAATAAATTCGTAATTCTTTACCTGTGTAAACAAACAGGAGGATAATCTCTTTCTTGATCTCTATGATAAAACACTAATATCACAGCTTCTTCGGAAGTAATACATGAATGGTCTAAGCACTGAATCTAAGAGTAAAACACGTCGAGAAAACCATAATGCAATTTTTCGTTTCTTTTAAAATGCACTTTTGACATTACTGACACATATTTTTACATATTTTTCTTTTTCTTTACGTTACTCTTTACAGATGACCACCACTTTCACGCTGCAACAAAAACTGCAAGAAGTGACAAAAACGGTATGCGGTTGTCAAACAAATATTTCCGCCTCAGCTGTGTTGCAAGTGGTAAGTGGTAGGCAGCACAATATACACTTTAAGCGTATATCTGGTTGCCAAAAATTATTACCTTCATTAATTTTAGTTATTTAGAGTTATTTATTATAAGGCAAAATACAAAAAAAATAGCCACAATTAAAAGTATTAATTAATGTAATATTTCAATACTTTCAATACTATATTATATATTACCGGTATACCTGAAATGGCAGAAATCTTAACATGTAATGTACAGGGTGACCCAGGCTGCTGAAAAAAAATTATATTCAGGTTTCTTTAAATCACTCAGTAAATATAGATTTTAAAATATAACGTTGGATAAATGATTGATTTATGAAACAAAATACAAAGGGCGTTGATATGCTATTTGATATCCGAGATAAAAATAAATATAGTTTTCAATTGACTCTGTATAATTAAGTATATCAAAGCAATTTAGCCTATTCTAGACTTACTTACCTAGTTTAGAAAACCTTATCTAAATACCGTATGATTGACAAAAACGGTGTCCAGTTGGCTTGGAAATGAACATAGATGACATTCCCCATATAAAAAGACAGCGATCTTCATTTCATAGGTAACGCCGTTTTTTTTTCGATCATATTTATTTTATACGAATGTCATCAACCGTCATTTCTTGACGCTTTTTTTTGTTCGGTCGTATTATTTGAATTTTAAATGCTACCTAATTTTAATAACTACTATACAGTATAGTTTCAGTTAAAAAAAAAATAATTTGACATTTTAGGGTTTTGAAAATGTAGAATGTAGACACTATAAAAATGCCCATACATCCGTAATACTGCCCAAATATTGTATACAAATATTTTGTGTTAAAATAAAACAATATGGAGCTTCCTATGAATACTGTGTCACCCTGTAGATACAGTTGAATCAAGATCAAGCATCTTTAGACCAAGAAGCAGAAAACTATCTACTCTTTGCAAAGACATTATGACTCTTTACTTAAAAAAATGCAGATAAATAATTCTTATAGAAAATTTGTAATTGCCAACTTGTGAAGCTACTTGATCAAACATTTTTGGATAGAATGATAGCATAGTATTCTAAAAGTAAAACAAATTCTGTAACAATTTTATAATCGATTTAATGTAACAACCTTAATATATTTACAGTCTTATTTAATTTAAATGACTACCGTTCGTTCTAGTTTTAGAAACTTAATAAATATGTCAAGTAAAATAATACAAAGGGTGTAAATACTTCCAAAATGTGCGGTTCTGGTTGGTGTTCTGTGAATTAGCTGTGCCAGGTAACTGTGACATTTCTTCGCTTACAGGTTGTTCAACCTTTTTTACTAAGGCACCTAAAACACCACATAATTAAACATAATCTAGATGTTAACGGTTAATTTCGTTTATAGCCCAGTCAAATAAGACAAATTGGTGGAAAAATAGAGTTTTGAAAATGGTTTTAACCAATTCCTCTAGACTATACTCTGTTTTTTTTTCTCAGGTAAGATTTCGACAGATAGTGACAGAAGAAAAGCAGATGACGTCCATACCAATCTATTTATTTTCCCAAAAAAAGTTTCTAATATTTTTTAAGTTAACTATGGATGGGTTTAAATATAAATCCGTCATGCGTCATCTCTTGTTGTTTTTAACCAGTTCTATTGGTTTATTTCAAAAATGACAGATCATATCTCAATTTTATTGGTTTGACGGAACGATGAACGACAAACGGACGCCGATGCGTCTGAACTCGCCTTTAAAATTTTGAGAGTTGTCAAAGTCTTACCAAATTATAGGTTATAATTTTGTGTCAACTTATGTCAAACACCCTGCGTTTTTTTCAAATCCCTGTGTTATTACGTGTGTTTTGTGTCTTTTGAAGTGAAGTGGAGAAAAAATCGAGGGAAAATTAACTGTAGACCCAGAGTACAGTTTATAGTTAATACTCGGTGCCCAGGCAGAAAGTCTTATACAGCAATAAAGTTACCATCAATAAAGTGTGTATACCATCTCGTCATAGATAAGTGCATCTCGTATATGGTACAAGAATCGTACTAAACATATTCTAAAAACTGGAGTAGCTGTTAAATAACGACAACATACGATAAGTAAATAATGGATTTTAGTAATGAAGAAAAATAATGTCAAAAGGTACTGGTTAAAAAAATTTAAATTAAAGTTAATCAACCTTTAAGCTTCATTCAGAACCTCGAAATCAGTGGAATAAATTAGTAGTTTCAATCAGCTGTAGAAGTTTGTTCACCTAATTTTAATGTAAGCATTCAGAACGCCATAATTAGTGGCAGTAATTTTCAATTATTGGAAAAAGTTATCAAACTTTTGACTTTCCCACTAATTATACTTCAAAATTTGCGAGGAATGTCATTTTGGCCTTTGATTATCACCCGTCAAGAAAAATTTTGGTTAGAAATCAAAAGTTTATTGTTTTATAAGCTAAATATTCTGCGCAGGCGGGTGACAGTAAACCGGAAAATTGGAAACAGTTGTGGCGCGGTTCTACCCAGGCAGAAAGCATGGCCTTCTAGACTGTCCTAGACAAAAATCTGAATATTTCTATATGATTTCTGCCAATTTCTGCTACGGAACATTTTTATGCACGTCGGCGTCCTGTTCTTTTGTCTTTTGTCTGTGTGTCAGCGTCAGCTCCGGAGGCCTCTGGCAAGGTCGGGCGCATGTCGGGCGCCATTTTAATTTTTGCCGTTTAGATTTGATTGGAAGTTTGTTTCTGATATTTCGGCTGAAATTTATAAGTACAAAGATGTTTTTTGACATAAATTTCCTTGTTAACACTTTAATATAGTATATATGATATTAATTACATGAAGAAAATAATGAAATCGACGTTTCTGCGTGTAGCAGGTATGGGTCATATTATAGGTAAAAATAGGTAATATATTAACTGTTTTTATATTTTTTTAGCTTTAAACCCAAGGATCTTGGGATATTCTTTGCCAAGGATTTTTCCGTATCTCTACTTTAAAGACTGATCGGTGATTTTGAGCAATTGAAAGCAAGTTACACAAGGTAAATTATGATTATTGAACTATTATTAGCCTACATTAATTTTCTACAAGATGAACAGAAATGCGTAGTTACATATCACATAGGTACCTATTATGTATTTTCATAGCAATAATGCTATAAATCTATGTATGTAGATTATTTTTAAAATACAAATGAGGTATTAGATGTATATGTATCATATTTTTATTCATTTTATTTTCATTCAAGTCCTGTTTGATTTAATTCACAAAAGTCTTATGTCGGTACCTATATTTATGTTTTTTACATATTTTTTTTGATTCCAGGTTTTGTGTGGGTTCCGGTTGCCTTTTTCCTGCTTCCAGTTATTTAGTTTTATGCCCGTGAAGCTGTGAAAACATTTATTTATCTTCAAGTTTCTGTAAGTCAATGCACTGTTACTTTACTAATTCACTTTAACACAGCATCTCTCATATTATTTAAATATTTGATATTGATACAGTAGTTTATTGGTTTATAGCTCTTTAGTTGTGTTGATTTGCATATTTACATTGTTCTAAATTCCAAATAAGTATTTTTGAGTAATTGTTGTATTATTTACTACTAGAAAGTGTAAAAAGTATATTAACCCTCATTTAAACCTCCTGAACAGCCTGCAATTAAAAACCGGAAACGGAAATAAATTTCATAAAATTGAAATTGTCATGTCTATGTCATGTCAAATGTCCCAGCCGCCATATCTGAAAATTAGTTACCCAGGCAGCCACGCTGTTTCCATAATTTAACATTGACTTGACACTTCTTGTATTTATTATTTTATGATTCTGCGTTCTCTATGGATACAACAGAATACCGCAAGCTGTTGCTAGGATATTTTATTAATTTTAATTGTTTTTTGAAACCACTAATTTATTCCACTAATTGGGAGGTTCTGAATGAAGCTTTCGGGAATGAAATTCGGCAAGTGTAATTATTAATAAAATAGTTTGTCTTATTTATGTTGTTTTATTTACTTCTGTGGAATATTACAAATTTGTATTTGTACATAAGTTATATTGATAAATATAATAAATGCGGGAAGTTTCTTGGAGCTTGAAAGTAAGAAATAGTTATTTTTTATACTTTTTGGTATATATGGTGTTTTGTTCTTGTTTGTTTTGTACTAACACATACCGTTTGTTTTAAATAAAATAACTCGATTAGATTTTTTCAGTTTTATACAGTTTTTTTTCACAATATTTTGAAGTAATCACTTGTCACTCAAATTTTAAGTATATTAATTTCCTGCTATGCGTTCCAATTGTACCAACATATTTCTTTGTAAAATAAAATAAACTACTTTGAAATTAAAATGACAGACACATCCATCACTGTCAAGGATCTTGTCGTTGGACAGACTATAGCTGGTGTCGAAAGACAGACGGTGAACTTGAGAAGTGGGGAGGGGTTAAATGTCATTTTTTTAGAGAAGGGTCTCATAAAAGTAATGATTTGGCGGTCGGTAGACCTTAAATTAGGTTAATGTCTCGATTACCGTGTTTTGATTGCTTTGGTTTCCTTTTTGTCTAAATTGAATGTTTTGTATCAAATTTTTATTATTAACAAATGTCAACCGCCAAGTTATTACTGCTTCGGGTCGCATGTCATTTTTTAACTTTTTCAGTTATATCCTTATCTCAGAAAATATGATACCTACGAAAAAATATACTATAGGCCTGGTTCATTTCAGTTGATTTCAAAAAATTCCGACCGCAGCGCACTTTACAGCAGAAATCAGAAATTATCAATAAATGGTACACGCCGCCGGCGCCGCCGTCATGTAGATCGCATTAAAATAATATTGAAATCGGGGTTTTGTCGTAATATTTAAGTTTTTTAGTTTTTTGCTAGTTCAGTTATTCAGACTATAAAACACTCAGGTACGACGTTTGTGTGATGTAACGCTGTTTCGGGTAGTAAAAAATAAGCGAAAAAGAATTCGAACTAGTCGTCTTGTTGTGTGGTGACAATTTCAAATGTTAATAAAATTGCACAAAAAAAAATGTTAACGCGAAAAAGAGAGCGTAATTAGGGCGTTGTTGGGTGCAATAACATTCAATAACTCAACCTTTCCCGGATATTCAACTCTCCCGAAACAACATTTTATAGCTTCATAGTTTCTCACACCGATTTGATGAAAAGCAAAAACTGATTCAAGCAGTTCGACGAAACAAGTGAGTAGACAAAGAGCTCGTTACATAATCAAAAAATTAAATAGACATATACTATGAAAGGATGAAATATAATTTGGAATATTAATGGTATACTTTTTTAATCAACAAGTGATTAAATGTTTTATGAACATCTTCTAAAATTATAATTATGTACTTTTAAAAAATGTCGTTATAGCCGAAATAGCTCCAACTATGCCCCACTAGCAAAACCGGTGATAAAACTATGCTCGCTACTCGCTACCGTAGTTGAACGCATCTATTTTTTTTTAACTGGAATAATAAATTATAATGCAAGTTAGACCTTCTGAAGATATCAAAATATTTACCTGTTTATTTTTTTTGTTTAGAATTTCCACGAATTATACTTTCTAACACTTATTTTAGAATAATTATACAGGGTGCTACAAATTCGAGGTACGAGCATTGGTAACTCGGTAACCGTAACAGATACGAACATGGTCAAATTAGGGCAAAGTTGCCGCTTTGGGATGTTCACCAAAATGCCATCAAAAAAGTTTTAAAAATTTCAAGGATTGCTGAGTTTTTTGGAAAAAACGGATATTTTTGAAAACCAATTTTATTTTTTCCTGTCGATACTTTTTAGAAAATCAAAAAACTAATTGCACATTCTCATAACTACTTTATTAGGGCTATCTGATAGGATTTTTAGATGTTCAAATTAGCTAATGATTTGTGAGATAGAGAGGCCAACTTAATTTTTTTAAATACGGACCTGCATTTTTTATTTCAAATTTTGAAAGAACTCGCTTTCCTGAGTACAATAATATGCCACACTTATTGTTTTTTTTTGTTTTGGAAATTTGGACACAATTTATTTAAACTAATTTCAAGCCAGGCTCTGTTTTTTTTTAATATTTAATATATTCATCGTTATAATATTGATAAGCTTTCAAACTTAACAGTGACGTGGGTTGAGTACAGAAAATCAAATGCAATAAAATAATAAAAAATAATATAAATAAAATGTAATATCGACAATCAAATCATTTCCCCAAAAGATGGATTGGAAATGGTAGGTATAAATTTGTGCAATAGGGAGGGTGGTAACCTTTTCCAACATGTAGACTATGTAAAGCATTAGAAACTAGTTTGTATAAGTTAATTTATTCATAATAACTACGATTAATATTATGCAAATTATTAGATCGTACACTGGGAATTTCAAATTCACAATAAGAAAAGTTAAAAATAATATATTTAAATTGCTGATCTGGATATATTATTTATTTGAATCTTTCAATTGGCTCAATTTTCCTTATTCAATGTTAATTAGCACTGATCAATATTGTTGCGATGAATATAATCAGATTAAATAATTTAAAAAACAGAGTCGAACTTAACATTTTTTTAAATAATAATTAAATAGTTTTGTTGCTGTTAAGGTATCCAAAACAAAAAAATATATAAAGTGTGGCACATCATTGTACTCAGGAGACTGAGTTCTTTCAAAATCTGAAATAAAAAATGCAGGTCCGTATTTAAAAAAATTAAGTTGGTTTCGTATTAAGTTGGTTTCGTATCTCACAAATTATGAGCTAGTTTGAAAATCTAAAAACACCATCAGATAGCTCTAATAAAGTGGCTATGAGAATGTGCAATTAGTTTTTTAATTTCCTAAAGAGTGTGGGCAGGAAAAAATAAAATTGATTTTCAAAAAAATCCGTTTTTTCTAAAAAACTCAGCAATCTTTGAAATTTTTAAAACTTTCTCGATGGCATCTTGGTGAACATCCTAAAGAGCAACTTTGCCCCAATTTAACCATGTTCGTATCTATTACGGTTACAGAGATAGCAATGCTCGTACCTCGAATTTGTAGCACCCTGTATACTAATTTTTTCGTTTACTCCTATTTGTATGTGTTCGTTATTTACGATATGCTCGGGCGTGGCAGCACCGGCGGAGAATGCATCAAGCCTATATAGAAAATTGAAGCTACTTTTTCAATAGAAGAAAATTCTCTAACCTTTTAAAGGTGCGTATTCATTATCCGAACGAACGAACGAACGAATGAAAGTGCGGTATATTTAGACGGGGACCAAACGCATGCGGCCGTTCGTTCGTTCGTTCGCTCGACCATCCGTTTCGAGTCGGTACATCAAAGGCGTTCGCCAACAAATGCCTCCGGTCTTCTCGTGCGGTTCTATCGTACGGTCCCCGTCCATACCACTAGCGAACATTCGTTCGCTCGTTCGTTCGTTCGTACGGATAATGAATACGCACCTTAAGAGTTACATGGTTGACAAAAGTAACATGATTTCCCATATTTTATTTTTAGCATTTAAAAACAAATTACTGTCTTAACCTGTAACATTAATAAGGGTGATATTAAGAGGCCTTTAAGTTATCTCACAAGTCTTCTTTGTATTATGATTTTTGTCATCCACTGGCCCCCGAGCGTTAGTGCACACAAACAATTAACACTAACAAGCAAGTGAGAAAAAATCAGTGCCCCCATGCCTGAATACGGCATAAAAACACAGCATTTTGGCGAAAAAGCCATACCGGTTCATGATATATGATATTGATCAAACAGTTGAAGATCTTTATCTTCGGTTGCAGTGGATTTTTCTAAAGGTGGGATTCCACCAAGCGCGCAAAATGTTCGAGATTTTTAGCAAACATTTTTAGTCTCAAAATTTGCTTGGTGGAGACGGTGCTCACGCGGTGTTTTGCAAACGTTTGCAATCATTTGTTTGTGTTCCGGTCGACGTCGGTACATCAAAGTGATTCGCTGTTTGTGCGCATTTAGTGGAGACGCTTTCACAGCATACGGTTCGAGTTTTTGATCAATTCTGTTTCCGTTTACAAGTGAACGTATTTTATTGAAAGGCAATAATAATAATCGAGGGACAATGAAAAATGTTTACCTATGTGTTCTCTTGCGTTTTTTATCATTCGGCTGTTTAATTAAGGCAGAAATTAATAAAAAAGCTGCGGCACTAACAATTTGTTTTCGTCTCGGAACCATTTTTTTTTGCGCGCAATCAAGTCGGATCGATGACAAATGTTCGCAAACTATTGTTTTTGATCCCAGTGGTGACAAAATGTTTTAATGTAATTGCGAACGTTTGAAAATAATTACGAACATTTGCAAACGTTTGCTGTAAATGCTTTTTTGGTGGATACACGGCTTAAGGCTAATCAGCACATTAGTCAGTAGCATTGGCTGAGGTAGTATTTGTAGATCTTGTTTCTTTAATACATTATGTACATAATGTAGGTTTTGATTTTTTTTGATTACTCAAAAATATGAAGTAAAAAAAACAACAGAAAGCCTTTATGTTAACAAATAACCTGGGCATTCAAGAGTAATTTATGTGAACGAATCGCGTTTAAAAATTTTAAAATCACAGTATATAGTAAAAGTGATAAATAAAAAATCATAATATTGTATTTGGTTACCACTACTTGAAAGAAAAACATGCAATGAAAAGAAATGCGTATTTCGGAAACAATAAGTCCGGGAGAAAAAAATGTACAGAATCATTTTTAGAGAATTTTGTCAGCTTATTTTTGTATGTAAAGTGTTTTTCTGTGGAAGTCATAGTTTCTGAGACATAAGTGAAGATATGAAGAAATTGACATCCCCCATCCCCCACCTGACTGTATAAAACAATTATCAAACTCAAGGAATTTCTTGCACCAATGGGCCTTTTTTTGACTAATTTGGGATATTAGTTTAATTTAGTCTTTTTAAGCTGGATTTATAAACACGGGAGTTGACATAAACATAATATCTTCGTAATATGGCATCGTAAGTAGTAGATTAAATTTCATAAAATAAAACCCAGAAAAGCTACAGTGGTTCTCAAAATTTAACCAAAAAACAATGTTTTTCTTAAGTTTTCAAAGTAAAATAACTCTGTTATTTTGGAGTTATTTTAAAAACGGTAAAGAGAAAATATGTTTCTTTTATCGGGATCTACCAGCCCTGAAAATATGTGCACTTATTTAAGACTCACTCTGTATAAACTGAAATAATAAAACAATAAGAGTAATTTTACAATGCATAGGCGCCGCCTCTTTTCTGTAGTTCACAAGACCGACAGGCGCTTACTCATTGGCTGCTGTTCCAACTACCGAACGTCGCGAAATGCCGATTAAACAGTGACCATTTCTAAACTACGTTGAAAATAAAAGTAAAACGAACTGCCAACGTTTCGACGAACTGACTTCATAAATGCGTGCGTTCTTGAACAGTTCTCAACTGAACTGCCGTGTTTATAAATCCAACTTTATTCAAAGAACTTTTTGAATACCTGATTTAATTATTTCTGATCTTTTAAATTCTAACAATTTTTCGTTGGCTTTCCTCTGGATATCTTCATACACCTGTAAGAGTACCAAGGACAACCTCTCATTCGAGCAATAATCTAACTTATTCTTTTCCTCTTCCTCTCTGCGTAGTCGCTCTTCTTCTTGCAGAGCCTGACATGCTTTACTTACACCTTTGTTTAAACAGTAGTCTTTGTACTTTTTACTTGCGTTTCTTAGTTTGGCCAGAAAATCTGGCATCGCCGATTTTGCCACCCACGTCGTCACGCTGGATGGAATATTGACGCCAGGGTTGTCAAAATATGTCAAACTGAATTCAATACCTAGAAAGAGAGAACGGTCTCAATTTCGAAGTGCTTTAGATCAGTCTAAAAAAACTGACTTCATATTGCAAATTACAAACAAAAAAAGGAAAAATTAAAAAAAGGACATTTAGAACACAGTTACCGATGGAAGATTAAATTGGCTATTCCTCTAACATTATAAAGAATATTTAGTTTTAATCATCGTCTAACATTATTAATTACAATATAGTAAAAAAATATATTTCCAAAACTTAAAATCGTAAACTGCAGGGTAATACGCAGTGACTAACTGTTTTGGCGGTCCGCCGTTTATAATCTACGTTAAACTATTTAAAAAATGGTCTAATTATTTATTATTTTTGAATGGATTTATATCAAACCATGTTATCATTATATATAAAAGTATTATTATCATTTCACTGAGATTTATGAAAAAAAGTTCTTTGCCTTGGGTACAGATACCGTAACCTTTTGGAAATAGCTCAAAACGAAACAAAATTGAACGAGAACTAGACAAACCGGAGTAGGTCAAGACAACTGGAAATAAACCGAAATGCGACAAAGTTGGGCGACGAAACGCGACCTTGACCTGCTTCGAAGAGTTCCCCGCATAGTGTGGAGCGTGTTTAAAACATATTATAACCCCTTCAACGAATTGGGGAATATTTCGACAAACGATATAAAAAAAGAAAAGACGATATACCTATGAATTATAATACCAGACACAACTGTCACTGTTAGATCCTCCTGTTGGGCAGACCATCTATATTTCAAATAATATAAAAATCATAGTTAAGCTTTTATGACATAGTATTATCTATTTGTTACATAATATTGATTTATTTCTTGTACCAATCATTGTGTAGTAATGAAGTATTTAAAACAAATAGAAGCGCAAAAAATGGCTTTCAATATACAAAACTAATTTTTAAAATTTAAAGAAAGCTTCCATTCTTCTCAATGAGACCTGGTTTAAATTAAAAGGAAGTATAAAAAATACTCAAAGTCCCGGTCTCAACCTTAATATTAAATTAACCTAATCTAACAGTGACACGTGTTTCGCTCATACGAGCATCATCAGACAAATACAATTAAAGTCAATCCACACACACGTTCACATTTTACATATTAAAAGAACACTAAACGTTGAGACCGAGACTTTGAGTCTTTTTTATACTCCCTTTTAATTAAAACTAATTTTATACATCAGAATATCTAGAAAATGTAGATAATAAGTTGGAGTAGAAAATTAATATTCTACGTGTAGAAAATACGGTAGAATATGTGGAATTATCTATCTACCCATCCCTGAATATGACAAATATTTTCAAAATAGTAAATACACACGTATCAGTTATATCTTGATTAACAAATTTTAATGGTCTATATTTTTAGTAATTGTTGACAACGCAGTGAAAATACGCTCCAACTTAGCATTCACGCCTAAGTTCTGCGAATGCTCAGTAGCGTATTCAGAGAGAAGAATAGGGTTATATGATAATCGTGTTCTAGAAAGAAATAAATAGAAAAATGCATGTGAAAGTCCCGTAAACAAAGTCGTGTGTAATATACATATGGTAATATCCACGAAGTTTACAAGATCTAAAGTTTAAACTCATGGTACAAAGAATACAAGGTATGATCGATAGCGGCTCCAATTTCGTTCAGTTCGCGCATACCACCTGTGACGTCACCAGGAAAATAATGAATAAATAAAAAATAAAGAAAGTTGACAGGAGATCTGCATTTTTTGGGGTTATGGCTCTGGTTATGGTTAAGAATTGTTTATTTTTAAGACTTTTAGTTCGTTTAATTTAATAATTACTAAAACCAGCAGTTCCAAAAATATATTTAAAAATAATAATTATCTATTAACATGGATTTGGACGATAGGTAAGAATACTGAATTTATTTCTATATTCGGTATAAAATTGTTTATTAGGTTTTTAGTTTGCGATGTTTATGGTAAATAATTTTCATTTTCATTGCCTCTGAATTCACATGAGGACAGAGTTGAGGATATCTATGGAAAAGTAACCACAAGAGGAATTGTTACATCATTTAAAAAATATTGGGAAGTTTATTGTTTCCCATCGAAAAGTAGAAAATGCCAATGCAGATGAACGTATTGTAATTGTGATAGAAGTAATTCTAAGGGTGAAGTTTATTATAATTAGTGGAAGTAATACCAAGGGTGAAGTTTATTATAATTAGTGACCTCTGCTTCTTTTTATATGTAGAAGTTTCTGGTTTTGAGAATAAATCGGTTGAACGACACCCAAAATTTAAAGGAAGTATTTGCATACCCAGAATATGCCCATCAAGGATTATATAGCTCAAATTTCCTTTAATGGTAGGCAATTATTCAATGCAAATTAACTTTTTAAGTGACTAAAATATTAAATAGTTTACAATATGGTATATCACTAAAAATATATTACTTTTAGGTACAATTAGGGCCCGATACATTTCAAAAAGTAGAATATTATTTTATATTAAATGAGGTATTGTACTAACAATCAATTTATATTAATAACGGAGATTAAAAATAACGGAATAAATAGTTCTTTTTTTTTTTATACTACAAAAATAAACTATAGAATACAACAGTATTTAAAAAATAAAATAAAAAAGTTATGTCCCGGCCGAGATTCGAACTCCGGTCTCTCGCTTCCTAGCCTGACTCCTTACGCACTGCTCCACAGTAACTTGCTTAGCGATAATTCAATGACGGTATATAAACAAAAAAACAGGTTTATAACAATATCTTGACGATTTGAACTGGCGCGCGGAGCGTGCTGACCAATAGCGCCTGTTATCACCTGTGACGTAGCGACCAACCTGCGCAATATCATACCTTGTATTCTTTGTACCATGGTTTAAACTAGTTAAACACAATAATATCACGGATTATAATATAATAGCTCCCGTATATAGCGTTTAACGCCTTGGGAGTAGCAAGGTACAGCTTGCTATACTAGAGCCGTTCGGTATACAAAGGAAGGTAATGTGGCTAGCACTACGCTTCAACCGCCTATTATTACCTCAGGATTGTGAATCCCAAGTACTCATTTAAGGCCGAGTCGACGATATTACGGATTATACAGATTATAAACTTATCGTCAAAAGCACTATTTTTAGTGGTTCCAATTTTCGAAGTCGCGCACTAGTTAGGTTACTAGTTTGTGCACAAGCACGCCTACTTATGGCCTCTAAAATTGTGCACAGCGCCTGATCGGCCTTGTGACCGGCCCAATTATTACGCTGTTCAAACGGGAGTTTATTTTTGCGCACAAGAAAATTTACTCGTTTGCTCATCGTCATAAAAAACAATTTTCGTACCACGAATTAGGGACAAGATTTTTATCTGTATACTTATAGGATACCTAATCTGTGATAATATTAACTAGTTTAAACGATTATTTATATATACATAAGTTATAGACACTAAAGCAGTATTATTTTATACATACCAGGTTGTTTGATGTCCGTATAAGGTTTAATGACCATACATGACCAGTATTCTTCAACTCTAAATTTATCTGGATATTTAGGAAATCGAGGATATTCCGTTGTTTTATTGATAATCATGAGCGTTTTTGAATCCTCAAAAACTTTGTACCTTCTGTTGAAAACGTAGTCTCTATTTACAAACAGTCTCTGAAATGATTTAAAGCTATGAAATAACTATTTTTTTTTGTCACAAATTTGCCTAACACCTAAAAGACTAAGATTGTATAAACACTAATAAACAGGTATAATCATCAGAGGTGGAACGAATCCTATGCATTGTAGAATTTTATTATTTTATTCATCTATTTTTTCATAATTATAGAATGTTTAGGAGGGTGGTTAATCACCACGACCTTACAGATCTATTGTACGTTCCTCTTTCTTGAGTTATAACGAGTTATAACTCATCATTTGAGAGTCAGGGCTCTCAAAAAAACTCAGGGCTTTGACAAAAGCCAGTATCTCAGACGGCTCCACAGAGGATAGCTCTCCATCTCTGACATCGGCTGTACCAAAATTTATGGCACGAACGGTTGTCGTCTCGGCGCACTCAGTGATGAGGTGTTCTGGTGTTTCCCCATTTTCCCCACAGAATCTACCGTCAGCTTCAATCTACCGAAGTGTTCGTTGAGGAGACAGCGTACTGTTAGAAACCCCGGGACAATCCGAAGATTGTTCTTACTTAAATCAAGGAAAATTTTTAATTTTTCTCGGTGGTAAGTGGTGAGAAATTTTTTGAGTGTCTTAGACCGTTGGAGGATTCCCATTCCAAGTTACAGATGGATTATACCAGGTGCATGAGTTCCGCTTTAAGTTGGTTTCCGCTTGAACGGTTCTGGGGCGCTATTCTGTACAATCGTCGGTATCGGTAAGTTACTGACAGCTATCGGTACGTATTTGTATATAGTAAAAATGTGTTAATTGTTGTTGTCATAGTTATCGATCGGCCCTATGGCAGAAGTCGCACATTTGTACCGACGAAAATCGGTATTTCTACCATGTTCTTGTTAACCCCACGGTAGAGATACCGATAGTCGTCGGTACAGATTTGCTATATGTCCTATTAATGACAGCTAAAACTATGACAACAACAATTAACACGACGCTCATTGGCCGCTATTCTGGGGCCCCCTGGGGCGTTATTCTGTACAATCGTCGGTATCGGTAAGTTACCGACAGCTATCGGTACGTACGGCCAATGAGCGTCGTGTTGATTGTTGTTGCCATAGTTACCGATCGGCCCTATGGCAGATATCGCAAATTTGTACCGACGACTCTCGGTAGTCTCGGTATCTCTACCGTGAGGTTAACAAAGGCACGGTAGAGATACCGTTTTTGATCGGTACAAATTTGCGATATCTGCCATAGGACCGATCGGTAACTATGACAACCAACAATTAACACATTTTTACTATATACAAATACGTACCGAGAGCTGTCGTAACTTACCGATACCGACGATTGTACAGAATAGCGCCCCTGGTCCAGTTAATGGAGTGTTTGCTCATTTTCTAGTTAGATCGTTTGCTTTTTCATTGCCTTCTATCCCTTGGTGAGTGGGCACCCAGAGTAGGACTTTTTCTTACATAATTACTGGTTTCAAACTTATTTGCAAACCCTGATGACGCTAGTAATATAGAATTTGGTATGTAGTCTGTCTAACGAGTTAATACTTGACGGTGACAGTTGTCCGTCATTTTAATTCATGGGTAAATCACTTTCTGTCATTTTAAGGGTGTCGTTTGTCAAAACCTTGCATGACTCGTTGGACAGACTTTATTGCCTAAAAAAACTAGCCAGAGACAAGACTAGTATAAGTGCAAATATTTCTCGGGGTAGTATATTTCGACCCCAGAAACACATCTATGAGTTTTTTTTGGCAAAGAAAAAATTTAAAATTTAGAATTTTTTGAAGAGTTTTGATTTTTAGCCGACCATACCAATAGGTATGGTTGTTACATATTTTAGTATGGGCGGCTGTAGTGCCTCCCGGCGCCATTTTTTTATTTTCAGTTAAAAAACATCGTCGTCAAAATATGTTTCAATACCGTTTGATAGAGAATTATCCCGTGGTCTAAAAGGAATTTTTAAGAATGTCAATTATAAACTTGTGTATAGTGCTAATAATAAATTACAACAATTATTAGGTAATCCAAAGGATAAAACACCTCCACTGGAAAGGTCGGGTATTTATGAAATTTCTTGTAAAGATTGTAATCAGAAATATGTTGGGCAAACTAGAAGATCAATATTAATTAGATTTAAGGAACATTTAGCTCAGATAAGATATGGTAGACCGGATAAATCTTGCGTTGCCGAAGATATTGTTGATAAAGGACATTGTATAGATCTTAATAATTTAAAATTAATTAAACAAGTCTCAAATTACAGGCAATTAGATGCATATGAAAGCATCAGAATTAATAAATGTAAAGATAGTATGAACAGAGACAGAGACAACGGTCCTATTCCTTCAAGTTCTTTGTTCGTACTACTCTAGTGACGGAAATCTAACTGTTACGCTCGATGGGCTCTGGCTCGGTTGGCTAGATCTTGCCACGCCCACTCGGTGCCCACTGAGCGAGTATATAAACGCTCAAATTGTAGATTGTAGTTTAGTTTATAATCATCTGCTGATGATGCTAACATGGTTAGCGAAACGCGCGTCCAGTGTAAAAGTGTTTTGGTGTATTGTGGTGATATAGTGTTTTATTTTGCTAAAAAACATAACATCTTGATAATATTGCAACATAGGTAGTAGATCAAATTTACAAGAAAAAAAAACAGAAAATATCCAGTGGTTCTCAAATCTGTATATTGACTATATCTTCCGCATGATCGTAACCTGGAATGGGAATGATCCAACGGTCTAAGACACTCAGAAGAAATGTCTCAGAACTTAAGACAGAGAAAAATCAAAGATTTTCCTTGATTTAAGTAAGAACAATCTTACAACTGTAACGGGGTTTCTAACAGAAACTGTCTCCTCAATAAAACATCTCAGTAGACTGAAGCTAAGAAACAACGGCGAATGCAGATTCTGTGGGAGAAAATGCGCCGAGACGACAACCATGTAACTTTGGAACGACCAATATCGGAGACGGAAAATATATTTTTTTCAGGGTTTTACTAATCATACAGTCTCAGAGCTTTGACAAAGCCCTGTAAAAAACCTTATCATAGTTTTTATATAACCGATAACTGAAATCTGAATTTGGTATTTAATTAATAACGATAAATAAATAAATAACATCCTCCTTATCATTACAAGGAAAAAGCAATATTATGTTAGCAATTAGCACTATCTATTACTACTAATATTTTTGAAGGTCAAATGATACCAAAACTGTTAGATATTGTATTTTTTAAATAAGCAATTTATTTCATATGCACTACTTTTCCTTTTTTTAGATTAGATAGAACGAAGATGTCCGAAGTTAAAAATTAAGATCTTTTTGTACCTACGATTTTGCAAATTTATTTGAGGTTTAGATATTGATTACAGAACGTCTATATGTTCTGTAACTACGGGGCATCCGTAAGGAGGGAAACGATATTCTCTGCTACCGTTTAATCGATGTTTCTCGTAAAAAATTAGACGACGCTTCTATCAATAAAAATTCAACAAATTTGCAAGTAGCCAATGAAATGAGTGGGCGGAGTGTTTCATGCAGACTCTCTACCGCTTTTATACAGGGTGTTTCAGAAAACATGTGCCATCTCTCGTGGGGAGATTCCTCACATAAAAATAAGATTTATTTTTCATATCAACTTAGGTCTTATCAACTTATTGTATTCATATCAACTTATTGTAGGTAAATTAAATAAAAATAATTGTTATAAATTTTAATAAAGTCCATAAACTAATGTCGATTTTGAAAATAGCTACTAATATCACTAGAAAATTGCCAAGGCGACACCAGCCATATTGATTACAATTTTATTGAAAAATCGCTTTTTATTCAAAATCTGAGCCAGATAGGTATAGGAAACCCTAATATAGTTTGAAAGAGCATTTAAATCTGCTTCGACTTATTTAAAAAAATGCATAGTGTTGCATTTAAAATAACGAAGTTTTTATGTAAAATAAATATTTAAAATAGACCAGCAATTTTTGATACCCCTGTATACATTTAAGGAAGCAATCAAAATTTTTAGTAAAGTTTATTTCTCTGGCGTGAAAGTCAGGCACATGAATTAATTCTGAAAAGTAATGTACAAAGTGTTGACAAACTTTTTTATTATAGCATGTATATGTAAATATGTTTAAATATCTCAAAAACCAAAGCTTTAAAACATATCATATCAAAAACCCTTATAATAAATGCCCTTTTTTGGGCCCATGAATACAAAAATGAAATAAAATACCGGGTGTTCCATAAGAAAAAATATAACTTTGATATGGATCTTACTTTTGAAACACCCTGTATATTTCAAAATTATTTTAAAATGTGCCCACATTACCTCCCCACATATACCCATAAAATATTTTGTTTCTATATCATTCCGTTTTCGTATAACCAACCGATGCGAATGAGGTGCGCCACCCCCGATATATTTTACATAACTTATTATTAATTATTACTACTATTAGTCCAAACTTCAGCAATTAATAATGGTATTTAAAATAATTACAAAAAAAACTATTTTAAAAGGTTTAACATCCAGTAACTCTAAAACTATGCATTTCCATACCTATGTTTATAAACCTTTTTTATATTTTTTGATTCAATGAGTACTTATTTAAAACTTTCGCAATTTAATAATATTACATTTTTTTAAAGGTTGCTGTTAGTAGACTTGGATCCAGGCAAATTAATAAAATTGCGTTTATCTCATCAAGAAGACCGAAATCGGCAAAATATCAAGAGACAACTATTAATCGGCATATCGGCATTAAACTGCTTACATTATTTCACTAACAAGAGAAAAAAGTTTGTGGCGTACATGCTTTTTTTAGAAAACTTTTAGAAATATTCCACACGTCGTCCCTGGTGAATATGTCGACACTTTTTAGCTTTAAAATATGTGGCATTTGTAGTAACTTTTACCCTGAAAATTTTATTCGAAACGCTAAAAGTCCTTGGAAGAAAATTATAATAAATCGAAAAAATATTAAAACTTTGACACCTTGTAGCTACAAAACAAAGCAGAATCGGACCTATGTTAATATGAAAAATAAATTTTATTTCTTTCCACATGAGATGGCACATGTTTTTTGAAATACCCTGTATAGGTAACAATTTATAAAATATATTGCTGTTTATTTAAATGCTTTTTATCCGCATTCTTTTCATAGACACAGATCCAGTTGATGTACTTTACCTAATATACCTCTCTAACAATAATAATTTTTTATTAAAACCTGGTAATATTTTTTTTTCTCTATTTTACCGTTATTCTGCGATAAAACTCTTCCATGCATATGGTTCCACTGCAAAACTTACCGGCCATTGCATTTCCCAATATAAAATATCACTGTCTGATCCTGTATCCCTTTCCCCAACTTCTAACTGTATCGCTGTCGTGTCCCATTCCTTACGATAATCCGTGTCGACTTGAACTTGTAAAAAATCCTCTGCAGTTACATCGTGATATGAACCATACACTTTATATTCGAATAAGCCATTTCCATAAGGACGTTTCCAGACAAGCAGGTCATCTTTCGCTATAAATGGTACCCAGTCATCGTAAGTGTTGCTAGTAAGACTTCCAGTACTGCTCTATAATTATAAGTAACAATAAAAAAAACAAATTAAATTAATACAATACTAATGTTGCCCCAATAAAAAAGAGTTGAAGATGGTTGAAATTATCATGATGTATGTACCTATTGTTATAAACTGTGTTTCATAAAAATCGGTTTAGTAGAAGTAGTTTGATTTTAATTTTCCCTCTACACTATGCGTGAAACAGCTCGAAGTAGGTCATTGTTCGTTTCCTTGTTTTGTCTCGGCTTATTTTCATTTCATAAAACGCTAATTGCGGAGAAGGGCGTGGGGCAGTGGCGGCTCGTCAGGGTAGGCAAGGTAGGCGGCGCCTACCCTAAGATTTTGGCAGAATTTAAGCGGTTTATTACATTACATTATTTACTATTGATGTTGCCAATACATAAAAATACTGTTAATACACGGAAGTGTGTTTTAATAATCAATATTATTTTAATATTTGTGGTCTTGTAGATTAAAATATTCACTACAGCTGGGTACGCTGACTGTGCCGCTGCGTTAGAAAACAAAATAATTTTGACCGTTGCAGTGCCTTTGTTCGGCGATTTCTACATCGCCTACTATCAGAGTCGATGTACGACGTACGACAGTCTTCTGTCTCTATCTAGCTCATCGTGCGGTAGCGACACAACGTAAGTCGGAGTTGTATCGTATTAAGGCGGGGCTTAGACGAAATTTCCGGTCGCCTTCGCATGAAGTCGTGGAGGCTCGGTAGGCTTAGAACTTAAGGGGATATTCCCGATATTTCATTCACACATTTCGTTAAGGGGATATTTCATATGATTCATTACACGTAGCATTTAAAACTTTTATATGAAAATTCAAAAAACGTTTAAGCAAATTGGAAACATTTTTCGAGCTTATCCGAGATTATTAAAAATGATATAACCGATTGTATTTCAGAACACGCCACAGAAATAGAAGAATCCGAAATAAAAAAGCGCGTTATTTTATTCGGTGCAAGGAGACGATACAACAGAAATTACAGGAAAGTGACAAAAGTCTCAGTGTGCTATTTCAATTTTGCGAATTTTATTTTATGAAATATTAGATAACATTGTTATATACATTTAGAAATAAGGTTTGCAGATAGGTTGGGGGTACAACTTGGGGAAAATAGACACAACTAAAATTTTGTCGCCTACCCAGTCACACGGGTCACGAGCCGTAACTGGCGTATCCTGTTATCTCGTTCAATTTCTTTTTGTTTCGAACTGTTTCCACGTCGTATCGGTACTTAAACCCGAGTCAAAGAACTTTTTTCATAAATCTCAGTGAAATAAGTAAACCTACACGTGTCTAAAAAATATTTGTTGTTAACAATATTACTTTAATTACATCTTGTTATGTTGATATATTCCACAAGATTAACATTTGAACACGAGTTTATAATATGTATAGGAGATATTTAAGAATAAAACTTTTCACTTAATATAAGAATATAATTACAATATTTTTATTATTAATTTGTTTATATTAATTATTCATTATAATAAATACTATTATTATTTATTAGAATGAATAATTAATATACAAAATTGTAAATATTATGGTTGTTTACGGCCTTAATTTATTAATATATCTGTACTATTGCTTGATGAGCAACATCATCAATATGTCGAGCTGATTAGAAAAAATGATTGACTGACCAATGTCAACACGGACATTTTTTAAAAGCAATGGTCTTTTATTGTGTTTAAGAGAAAACTGTAAACGATAATTTTGTTAGTACCCACCATGGTTTGATATAAATCCATTCAAAAATAAGAAATAATTAGACGATTTTTTAAATAGTTTTGTATATATTTTCTTCATGGGGCGCAACATCTGGATTATAAGCCAATAAATAACGCACCGCTAGTTAGTCACTATCGCCACCCTGCCCTACAGTTTTACGATTTTAAGTTTTGGAAATACATATATTTTTTTTACTAGTTGTAGTTAATAATAATAGACAATAATTAAAACTAAATATTCTTGTGTAACCTTACAGGAATAGCCAATTTAATCTACTCTCGGTATATGTTTCATGGTGATATACATGACCACCTAACTCGCAATCGCGATAATATACTCCCTGATTTTCACACTTTCAAGGACCAGGAGAGGAACTGACTACCATGGTATAAAATTTCTGGGCGTACTTCCATTACACATTAGAGAAGCTGATGCAAAACAATTTTGTACAAAAATTAAGGGCTATTTATTACAAAAGTCCTTTTATTCAATTGAGGAATACCTTAATAATAGCTTTGATGACCTATTGTGACTGTGCGACTCTTACCTGTTTTGTTGACATATCTATATTATATTTTATCTTTTTATTACTTTACACTTATTCTGTTACTTAGCTTTAGTTTGATAACAATGTTTGTGTAACTGTATGTATTAGTAAATTTATTCTGGATCATTTTAAGCTTAATGTTTTCTGTTAGTTGTCAAATTTTCATATGTTATCATTTTTTCATTTATCTGTTGGTTGTCAATCTATAAATTTTTGTTGCAATAAGCATGGGTGATTGAACCTGTATTTATTTTAATTTTTTGACGTGTAAGAGCATTATTTGTATTATTACCAGTAAATATCTATCTATCTATCTATCTATGTTTTTTAAATGCACTATTTTTCATATTAGTTTAGTATAGTGGTATTCCATTATACTCCATTACAAACTAACGATATTTATTTGTACTCCATGTTTACTTATGTTTCTGAAGCCTGATCTGAACAAAGTTTGATCTTGAATAATTCGCGAAGTAGTACGAAGAATGTAGTCACCTACAAAAGTTTTGTCGATTTCATGGAAACATTTCGCGAATAGTGTAGAGACCGTTTTACATGTAAACAGTACAAGTTAGTCCAAAGTTTGTAAAAAACTTATTTCTTACTTTCGATTTAATACTGGTTGAACTACTACTGTTAGACTTTCCATCTGGAGAATTCATTGTATTTTCTTTCAGAACTTCAATATAATCAAGGTCATCTAAATGTTTCTCAAACTCTTCGTCTCTTATTCTATTATCTTCCCAGTTGAAGAGTGATATACCTACATAAAAAAAGATAAATACAATACAAAAAAAATATAGATGATAATTCCATTTTTAAGAACAAAGAGTTGCCTTCGTATCTTCGTATAGCGGGTGTTTCTCAAAAGTGGCTCACCCCTATAAATTTTTTATTTTTTTTTAGATAAAAAACGAGATTTGGTATGTTAGTAATGACATAAATTAGGATTGTTTGATGTATTCAATTCTTTTCAGTCACTTCCTGTTTCACCAGAAATGACTATAACTTTTGGTGTTTAAATGACACTCTGAATAGAATGGCATATAACATGTCAATTTTTGACATTTTTGCTCAAAACAAATGGTAGTTTAAATTTCAATCTAGAGTGCCATAACTTTCTTAAACACTAATTTTTAATCAAGGACCCTTGGAAAAATTTATTTTATCGTCTGTTTTTCGTGTCTTGTCCTGCCTGTTTAAAAAATACCCAAATCGTATTTTTAATCATACCTTAATTTTTTCAAGGGTGGCTCATTAGCATATTTGGGAAAAGCATTTTTTGATGAATAATTCGATACCACACACTTGGTATTTCGAGTCAAATTGTTGTTATAAACCAATTCAAATAATTACAATTAATTGAATTATTAATTACAATTTCAAATAAACTATTCTATTCAGAGTGTAATTTTCTATTGAATAAACTAAAAAAATACTGAGGGTACCTATCATTTAAAAAGTAAAAGTTGTCATTTTCGGTGTAAGCGGAAGTGACCTAAAACAACTGTATACGTCAATCAATACTGACTTATATTGTATACTAACTAACCAAATTTCATTTTTTTTATCTGAAAGAAGAAAAAAGTTATAGGGGTGAGCCACTTTTGAGAAACACCCGGTATGTAACATTTTTTCATTGCTCTTTTCTCAACAAACTTATTTGAATATGTAAATGATAGTCAGGAAGCAATTTCATTTTTTCAATATGTTTTCATAAAAAAATACAAAATTAATTGCTTGTACAGGGTGAACAAAAATCACAATACATACCTATTATTGATTTTAATAAAAAATATTACACCACAGGGATGACATTAGGTGCATGGATGCCTATACTAGTCACTGATGTATTTAGGTAAAATTATAATTTGGATTTGTCATATTCAGTGTTCAAACAGTTTAAAACTCTTTTATTTGACAATAATTTTTTATCCCTCAATTCCATCAAACAAAAAAAAATCTAGTGCAGTGGAGTCAGTATAGATCTTTCTTATCTCTAGGTGCACAATTTGATCATATAGTACTTAACAAGAAAAAAAATTAGGCTGTAGTGCTATTTTTGCTTATATTCTTTTACTTGGTAAATATGATTATGCAAATTAATATTGAATAACTAGGTATACAATTACAAGAAGTTAACAAAGTCATGTATAACTTTGTAGAGAAATACCAAACCAAATTATTTTATATAAAAATCTTTATTATTTAAAAAGCAATTGCCTGCCTCGCACTTATTCCCTGTACAGGGTGCTACTGGTATACTCAGGGAGATATACTTTAATTTTGGTTCAGAATAAACAAATGGCTTTGTAGGGAAACTCTAAAGAGTTTCATAAAGAATGGGATATGAGAATTAAAAAAGAATGTCCTCTTTTAACTTTTAGAAAGTTTTAAGATTTTTTTATAACCTATATTTATATTAATTACTTGATGGAAATGTTTATATTTAGCGCAATAATAATAAACTGTATTGTAGCTACTTTATAATAAACACTAGTCTATATGACACGTTCTAAAAATAGTAAGACGTAAAATAAATGTTAATATTTTGATCTATTTTTACAATTACTGTAATATGCTTTGTACTCTAGCAGATGCAGAGGTCATAAAAATAAACTACCTACTTATGAAAACACTCAAGTGTTAATATCCATAAGAGAAAAAAACTAGTTAATGTTTATCAAAATGCTTGTTAGTGCTTTAAAGATAAATTATTAACTAACTATCTTCAAACCCTGAAACATGCTATTTCATTTCCACAGTTAAATAATTACACAATTACAGATCAATAATGAAACAACTTAATCTAATTTTGATTACATCACTGTGATATTATAAAGTGGGTACCTACAGCTTTATTCTATAGTTTAAGAAAATTGTCTAAACAGTGTAAATGACCATACCTGTAGCACCTATTATAAATTCTCTCCCATTACGAGTGAAACTAATTCTTAACCTCCTCACAAGTTCTTTCAGAGCTCTTTCTTCCCACAACCTCGAATATAAACTAAACATTTGTTGCCCTCTTCTTACCCTTTGAGCAATAACACACTCAAACTGTCTTATCCACATCTTGAAAGTCTTTTCCGAATTCGATTTCCTGAACAGATTTTCCTTCAGAACTTTTGCTTTGTCAATTATGCTGCTCAGTTTATCTTTCAAGTCCTTTACGTCTTTCCATTTAGAGAATTGCCGTCGCATTACAGTCCCTTTGGCAAAAGTGAAACCCTCTATGCACTTTTCCGCTAGTGCTCCCTTCATGTTGGGAGTTCCGAGGGGGCTCAAATTTTGTGATAATTTTCGAGCGTACATGATTTGATAACGCCACAATGTCTTTTTAAACACTAATCGATGATTTTTACTGAAATGATACCGAAATGAATGCTGAAAACTGATTAGAAGAGAACAAATTATGTTGTAAACATGTCTATATCTGGACTGGAATTTTGACAGACAATAGTTGGTGGGGAAGGGAGGCACATGCCGGTTTTGAAGGAAACACACCTGAGATAAACATCCACGTAGAGCAGGTAGGTTAGGCAACTGGAAATTAGTTTCAAATAGATAAAGAAATCATTAATTAATTTTAGGCAAATTTTAGGTAATTATCGTCAGTTATCATATGGCATACATTAATCTGACGAGATTGTAAGTTTTTTGTATGATTAATATATCAAAAAGGTTAGTTACAAGCTGGTAAGTATAATGTCACAATACTTTTCTGTGTTTTCTGTTCATTAATGATCAATTCTTCTTACATGAATTTGTTACTTTTTATCAGTAATATTTATTTTAAAATTAGCACATGTGCTCACGGTTTCCACGTGTTGGAATTTTCCAAGAATTTTCTAAAGAAAATCACTAGGACCCAGGATATCATTTGTTTATATAACTATCCCTGTTTTACATCATGTGTAACAAGGCAAGCGACTGTTTCATGACTTGTTTGTAAATTAAATGAATATACTGTTTTGCGGGAAAGTTAAAATTTAAATTGAGCTTAATGTATTTTACAAGGATTTTACTGAATGTATCAAAATGAACTGCGTTACATACAGGGAGATCGACTAGCCCAAAAATAGTTTATCAGTTATCTATCCTACTTAAGATTTTCACTGGATTTTTTTATAAAATATAGATACTGGCAATGATAGCGCATATTATATATTCTTTAGTTATTGATATAAAGTGATTTAAATATATCTTTATAATAGAGTTGGGGTTTCTAAAATGGGGAATAGATATATTGTTTCCTCTGTGTATTTGTCATAAAATTCTCATTCTAAAAATATCTTAAAATTTAATCCATACCTACATAGTTGTGAAATAGGTAGGTACGTACCTTTGGTAGGTACCTAATTAATTGTTAATCTAAGCTAACTAATAGAGATTTCTACAGTATTCTCTGCACTTTTATACCTCTCGAAATTATTAAGCGGAAGTAGAATTAGAATTTAGAATTTAGAATGAGTGGGAGGGGGTTTTTCACTTCGACCTTACAGATCCATTGTGTCCCCCTTTCTTGAATCATAACTCATCATACAGTCCCAGGGCTTTGACAAAAGCCAGTATCTGGGACGGTTTTATAGAGGGTAGTTCTCCATCTCCAATATCAGTCGTACCAAAATTCATGGCACGAATGGTTGTCGTCTCGGCGCACTCAGTGATGAGGTGTAACTGAAGTTTTTTAATTGAAAATATTTATAATCGGAGGCGTGTGGTACATGGAAGCGGTGAATGCGGCGCTTCCTTAAAGGTGCGTATTCATTATCCGAACGAACGAACGAACGAAAGTGCGGTATATTTAGACGGGGACCGAACGCATGCGGCCGTTCGTTCGCTCGACCATCCGTTTCGAGTCGGTACATCAAAGGCGTTCGCCAACAAATGCCTCCGGTCTTCTCGTGCGGTTCTATCGTACGGTCCCCGTCCATACCACTAGCGAACATTCGTTCGTTCGTTCGTTCGACGAATGAAAGTGCGGTATATTTAGACGGGGACCGAACGCATGCGGCCGTTCGTTCGTTCGTTCGCTCGACCATCCGTTTCGAGTCGGTACATCAAAGGCGTTCGCCAACAAATGCCTTCGGTCTTCTCGTGCGGTCCCCGTCCATACCACTAGCGAACATTCGTTCGTTCGTGCGGATAATAAATACGCACCTTAAGGTGCGTATTCATTATCCGAACGAGCGAACGAACGAACGAATGAAAGTGCGGTATATTTAGACGGGGACCGAACGCATGCGGCCGTTCGTTCGTTCGTTCGCTCGACCATCCGTTTCGAGTCGGTACATCAAAGGCGTTCGCGTCCGGTCTTCCCGTGCGATTCTATCGTACGGTCCCCGTCCATACCACTAGCGAACATTCGTTCGTTCGTTCGTTCGTTCGTTCGTTCGGACATTTTTTGTATTTAAAGTATTTCAAAATTATTAATAGTTTTCCGGATACACGCAGTATTATTTCATATGGCGCTTTCAATGGTAAAATACGAGAGAGAAATCATTAGGCGGCTTTGATACAAATTTACTGTGGAAACAATTTTGAAATACTCTAAATACAAAAAATGTTCATTTTTTAATTCTCCATCTATTGAAAAAATAATATACAGGGTGTTTCATTTAAAAAAAAAACGAAGAAAAATTATTTTATATTTTAGAAAGTTTGGCGTAGAATTTTGAACATCCTGTATGATTTACGATTTCCATATTTATAGCAAAGTAATTACAGACCATCTAAAGTATATATCTAATATAGTTTTGAATTCAGGAGAGTCCTTGTGTTATTAACAATTTTTTTGAGAGGCTGAAAAAATCGAAATATATTTACTCTTACTCATGTCTTAGGATTATGTAAAGTGATCTGAAAGGAAGCCAAAAATGCAGTAATATACAGGGTGAGCCACCCTATAGAAGTTAAAATATTTTCCTGAAATACATCCTAGTACATACTTTAGGTTTGCACTTAAACAAAATTCCCAAGTTTTTTATTCTAGGAGCTACAGATGCCCGACACACTATTGCCGGACTCTGTATGTATAGAGTTAGTATAATAGCAGTTAAAGGTGAGTTCATATACATATGCATCCATGATGCATAGGGTTCAAAACCGGGAAATCCCGGTACCGGAAGTAACGTGAATTCCTGGTTCTTTTGAGACATCAAAGAACCGGCAAACAAATCAAAATTATTAATTCCTGGTTCTTTCGGTACTTTCGGAACTCGGTAACAATAATTAAAAAAATATTTTTATACTTTCCAGCGGTCGCAATCAAACTCTTCTAAATGAGTAGTGATGCTATATTGTTATTCTTACTTCTGAACTTCTTTTGAAGTTACTATATTGTTTATTAGCAATTATTGAAGTTTAAATTTGATATTTTATTATTAAGTATAATGTTGTTCAATGTATAGTTAGTTTAATTTTATGTTATGTTTTTATTCCTCAAATTTAGTTAAATTAGTTTACTTATGTTCTTTGATGTAAATTTTAAGTTACCCATTTTTTCTTTGCCTGTGTTCATCTTAATATTCTCATGACTGATTACTTAAGAATTTGATATTATTTTCATTAAAAATCTCAATTTTTTTTATCGATTTTACAATTGAAAACCATTCCTTGCTTTTTAATTGATGAACTAGCACCATCACTGCACAAAAATTAGATAGTTCCGAAAGTAGCGAAAAAACGGGAAATCTCGGTTCCTAAAGCCGCGTCCAAGCTAAGCGAACAAAATGTTCGCGAACATATATAATTAAACAGATATTAAGTGAAAATTGTGAGATAGGTAGATTTATAAATAATAAAGCCAACAACTACAGCTAGCCTAGGCCTATTAAGGAGGGAACGCACTAGGCGGTCGCGGTCTTGGCTGAGCTCAGCTGAGCTGTTCTCAATCTAAACAAAAATTAGTCGCATTTCGTAGTTGCAACAGTACTGCTCGCGGTCTCTTTTGTTTATATAAAATGAGTTCTATGGAAGAGGTCTTTTTTTGGTTCTTCTGTTTGAAGAAGATTGCATTTTCTTTGCTGATTGGCATAGTTCTTATCAACAGGATCATATAGTTCCGTGTATTTTTCAACTAAGACTTTCAACTAAAAGTTTTTCGTCTTCCATATTCCACCATGTGCGAAATCATTATGCACGCAAAACGAATAAAATGAAAAACTAAAAACAGTCTCTGGATCGTACAGGTTAATGTAGGCACGTATGTTGCCGAATATAGACGATAGAAACGCGAAAAAAATAGTACGCGATCAAAGAAAAACGCGCATTTGGCGTTCCCGACCACGTCTCAAAGGATACGAAAAAAAATTACACGATCAAATATATGTTTCCAAAGTTCTTTGACTACAAATTAATAGTTTTAACTCAGTCTTGGCACTCTAGATTGAAATTTAAAATGCTATTTTTATTTAATTGGAAATGTCTAAAATTGACGTATGGTATGTCATTCTATTCAGAATGTCATTTTCTATCAAATAAAGTAAAAGTACTTAGGATACAATCTAAAAATCCAAAGTTGTAGTCATTTCCGGTGAAACAGGAAGCGACCGAAGGTAATTGAATACGTCAATCAATCCCGATTTATGTCATATACTAACAAACCAAATTTCGTTGTATTATCTGAAAAAATAAAAAAAGTATAAAAGGAGAGCCCCTTTTGAGAAACACCTGATAGAATTGGCTGAAAATGAATACAGGTCTTAAAAATACACTATAATGAGTAATCTACCAAAAGACCCCTGTGATCCTCCGCCTGCTAAATATTGATACGATAACGACAAAAGTTCTTAAAATGTTTACCGGTTAATTTATTTAATAAAATGCTTGCACTGTAGTTTTCTCAGCTTTGCATCAATTTTGTTTTGCTACAGAGTTTCTTTGTTTTTTTTGCAAGCATCAGCCAATACAATAAAAGCAGCGGCCCCAATTTTCACCTTATCATCCATATTTATTTTTTCAACTCACATTAAGCTGGACACTCGAAAAAACAGCGATTGCCTAAACGCATCCTAGATCTATAGAACTGTTTTTCGACGAGATTTGACGTTTCTAATAGTAAAATTAAATAAACTGCTCTCTTTAAACCCATTTTACAAACTAGAAATGTAAAAAACAGTCTCACAAGACGCTGAACTGACGCTTCCAGCCTGAACGCCTCGACGCAACGCTCGGCGCTCTCAGCCTGAACGTACCTCAATGGGTCGCCCGTTGTTTCGTCACTCCAATCGTATTCAAGTATGAGCTGTGGTTTTTGAAATAAACGAATACAATTGCATAAAACCAACGACGGCCGAGGAATTTAAGTACCACTAATATGAAATTATAGGTAGTGGATTATATTATAATGATGTCGAATGCTATAGGTATACAGAAATATTTTCGACTTTTTTTTATTACCTTTACCGCATTGCTTCCCCTTCTAAAAATTTTACCGAACGCTACTGTTAACGCCCTGATTACGCCTGTTTCTAGTTCAATAGTCAATTTTTGTTATTATGATTGGTTAGTTTAGAAAAGAGCCAATTATTAATACCTACTAGAATAATTCGCCATGTTATAATTTTTATAGAGCATTTATACGTAAAAAAATCTAAATATATTTTTATATTTCAGAAACCATTCTGTATAATGTCTCGAAAAAAAAACTTTTTTAAGATATGACCCCCCTAAGAAGTATATTACATCACTCGGTA